TCCGGGTTCCTATATATTGAGGTAAGTTGTAATTAATTTTGACATTTGTAAATAACATTTTAGCTATTTTTAGAGATTTGGGTCGGGGGGGGCTGTGTTGCTCACCTCAAGGAAACCTCAACAGACCAAACGCTTTTAGGAACCACATTGCCACCGTGAATACTGTGTGATTTGAAGACTTTCGCCCCATATAGTTCTTCTTTCACTGAGCTACAACGGAACACCATCATCACCACCTCTACAACGAAAACAGTGGCGCTGTTGTAACACCCTGTACTTCTTTTCGTCAGGTGATCGTTTCTAATCTGGTCCTGAGAACACGATATCCCAGCTGAACTTTTCCTGCTTTTCCTCAGTCCTTCCAGATATATTCCAGGATAGTACGTCAATTAGATCACGACCGCTCCTTCCAAATCCTTTTCAATTCATTAGCCATCCTAACACTCGACGCCATATATTTTAGGTCTGGACTATGAGAGCACAGTGAAACAATCCGCAGAACCTCTGCTATGTTGATTTAGTAACCTTAAGGGAAAAAAATAATTTCTGCATGGTTTATTAAAAGTATTTTTTATTGCTAGTGGGGTGGGACTAAGTCCCTTGTACTGCGGCCACTTCTGGCCTATTGTACCAGCCCCTGATGATAGGTGAGGGTGATTGTGGAGCAATTGGTGGAATGAAGATTGGCAGGGGAAACCGAAGTACTCGGAGAACACCCGCCCCAGCGCCAATTTGTCCACCAGAAATCTCACTTGACCAGACCCGGGATCGAACTCGGGCCGCCGCGGTGGGAAGCCAGTGACTAACCGTTTGAGCTGTGGCAAGGCCCTTTGTTAAAAGTAAGTCTATTACATGACGTTCGTGTTATACAGAGTCTCACAGTAGGAAAGGTCAGTATTCTTGGAGGTCACAGTATCGGCCAATCCTATTCGGAACGGTTTCACTGTATAGCTCCAAAATTGTTGATAAGAAAGAGATATTACGTGCTGTTTCTAATACCGTTATATATTGTTCAAGTAGCATAGTTGGTACCGTTTACCTAGTATAATACATTTTCGAAAATTCAACCGTCAACATCAATGCACTTTGCAACTCGTGTGAGGACATGGAGTGTTGCTCGTCTGTACAGTGTACAGTGTACTGTTCAGTGAAATAGCTCTATCTCGGAAACCGTTCGGAATAGGACACATGCACATATAAACTTTTTGCTTAGAATGACCGATACTATGACCTCCTAGAATACTGACCTTTCCTACTGGGACATTCTGTATAACTGCATAGTAATATTGATACATCTTACGTAATTGTAAATTTATTATATTAATATTATTAGTACTATTTTGTTAAAACTTGTAGCATATTTTATTACAGCTCCTTGTTCCAGGCAACAGTTTCCATCCAGAATACATTTTTTTTTTTAGATGAAGTGTGTGTGAGAGCATATTCAGGGCCTGATTTAAGGGGAAGCAACGGGGTGCTCGCTCCTGGGCCTCCACTAACTAGAAATAAAATCCACAGATTCTATTGAGACGTTTTCTTCTCTAACATCACAGAAAATTAGTTTGTATTTTCAGTTATGACGAGAAACAAGAACAACAAAAAAGAATTATCATAATCTGTATATGCTTTTACCAATTTGGGCCTCCATATTTTGATTGCCCTGCGCCCCCACATCTGTAAATCCAGCCCCGAGCTACATTTACCGAATTTGGGCATTCAAAAGTCAGTGTTACAGATGTAAATTGTACAGCAACCTTTGTAGATGAAATTGTTTGTTGCCATTCATTTGCCTTGCTACTATACTTTTTTTTAGGACTTAAATTATAAATATACGGAAGAAAGCCTTTTAAGTAAGTGAATTACAGCAAGGTTATGTTTTCAATTATCTCAATATTAGCCATTGTGTTTTGACCTTAGTCATGAACTATTAGAAATGAATTTGACCTTTAAAAACTCGATTATACGAAGGGGCTATAAGAACTATGAGTCTTCATTCCTGTGTATGCCTTGTGTCCCACTCAACAAATTGAGGCTCTAATGCGAGTTAATATACTGTGGAGGTTTTTCTTTATTTGGTTACAATTACGAGTGTACATTTCAAATGTTAATTGATAAAGACAAAAATGGTATTACTTATATTTCGTTGCGTCCTGTTAGCCTGACAACCTTACCGCCATCTTTGAATTGATTGTCTAGATAATGTGGGACCCTCAACGTCTCACAACCCTGTGGGCCTCCGTGGCCTGTTAAAGGGATAGCATTATCTTACCTGTTATGTACTCGTAAATAACTGTAGATAATTTTTTTCTGTCAGCGCAACAATGTTACCAGCAGGTGGGATTGCTGTCTAGGACGACATGTGTAGGACAGTTAACCTCAATCACTGACGTACCCGACAGAGCAGATATCTCTCTCCACCCCGGTCACTTGAAGATGGAAACAGATCCAAATTCGAAACTTTGGGGTCTTTAGAGTACTGAACGATGGTCAAAGTCCAAAATTCCAGCATTCATCGTCAGAACACTGTAGAATCCATAATAAATATATTGCGTATATATGTGTACTGTACGTGTATATGCTACATACATCCGCCTGCATGCATAAGAGAAATCAGTTACTTGGGAAACTGCTTATGAGGGCCATGCCCAAGAGTTTCTTTCGCGTAATGGAAGACTAGGACGTCACTCATCCGGTTTAGCGCAACATATGCATGAATTAAATCATGGTGGTGGATAACCTATTATTCAAACAGGTAATTAGGTGAAGAAAGTCGTCTTCTGGGTTTTGGCGCCGTGTATTCTTCGTTTTTGCTGACGTTTCGGAGGAACGTATCGCCTCCATCTTCAGAGCAGGTGAATGGCTTGTGAATGCAGAAAGCAGCTATCTGCATTCACAAGCCATTCACCTGCTCTGAAGATGGAGGCGATACGTTCCTCCGAAACGTCAGCCAAAACGAAGAATACACGGCGCCAAAACCCAGAAGACGACTTTCTTCATAGTCATCGCCGTGAAAACCTCAAAACTTACACAGGTAATTAGGTATTTTAAGGACAGAATCACAAATTTGACAGGAATACAACCTTCATAGACCGTTATGTCATTTTGTAGGTCGCCGTGTAATAGGAAATGCAGAGTAGCTTCGTCATAGTATCAATTCGCACGTGGTACTGGTTTCAAGGTGCAGGACCGTTACGTAAATATTTTCAGTAGCCAATTTCATGAGCATGTAAATATTATGACAAATGGATCACTACAGTCAATACTGGGTCATTAACTGTTATATGCAGGTTGGTATATCTTATTACTATATAATGAAAGTGTACATATTATGAAATTGACATGCTAGTCGCCGCCTAAATATAACTTGTTTGTTCATTACTTTTTCCTAGTTCTGACTTCGTGGAGACTGTGCCCTAAATTGTTTAATGCGATGGTTTTTATACGTATATGTCGTTCGTCAAATTTTCTTCTAATAAGCTACTTCCACCTAAGGCCGCGCCATAGCTCAAGCGGTTAGTCGCTGGCTTCCCACCGCGGCGGCCCGGGTTCGATCCTGGGTCTTGTCAAATGGGATTTTTGGTGGACAAAGTGGCGCTGGGGCGGGTTTTCTCCGCGTACTTCGGTTTCCCCTGCCAATCTTCGTTCCACCAAATTCTCAATTATCATAATCTCCCGGGGCAGGCTAAAATAGGCCAATCAGTTGCCGCCGTGCCGAGTGGATCCTGTTGGACTCCACCCCCCACTAAGCGAATGCTTCCACCTGATAATGATCTTGTAACATCGAAACATATCAGGGTTTTAGCGACACTTAATCCACATAAGCAATAGATAATATAAACTTTGATTGTTGTTGTTGTTGTTGTTGTTATTGTTATTGGAGCGGGTGGGTTTCCCCATGCACTTAGACCAGATATTGGTCCATTGTGCGTCCCCCTGTGATATTTTACCAGTCTCTATTCCCTACCGGTACTGGTGCGTGCAATCAGTCCCGACTCAGCTAGCGAGTTCGGCCTCTACTGGCTCAGCGGTATCTCGATGCTTCCCCCATCTACCAGAGGCGTTAGAGAGTACTGTTGGGCGGGAAATGTCCTGAATTTCGCTCAGAGGTCCCCTTGGGACATGAGGTTCTTTTTACGTGCCGTAAAGCTACGACACGGGACCCACGGCTAAAGTCCCTCCCGCAGGATTTGTCCCTGAATTTTTCCGCCCTTAAAAATTCCACGACCTCCGTCGGTCACGAGGTGGGAACGTTACCCCTAGACTACGGAGGCCGCTAACTTTGATGGTATCTTTCACCCTAATTTCATATAGACAATATATCTGGCAAGAGAATCCTACCAAAATTTTGTCAGATTCCTACTTGATTCGTGCTACGGCTTCTGTAGCTACAAGTCCAAAAGCAAAAGTTTTATTCTTAATTTTTCACATATTAAATACTTCGATCTGTTTCATCTCAAAATTAATTTGAAACAAAAATATGTTTGTACACCCAGTAGGATGTCCTGGATGGAGGATCGGCTCAAACTGGCTGTTACCCTTTCAAAATAATACAGAAAATATGGAAAAAATATTCATCCGTTAAACAAGGGGTGATGTCCTTGGTATTGTCACGTGAAAGCGTGACTACAGATAATGTTTGGATTGGTAATTGGATTAATTAAACACTTACAGGTCGTAACTACAAGTAACTGTAGCTCTATCGCTAATTCACACACTCAGCATATCTTCAGGATGGAAATGCAAACCTTGCAAGCAAGCAATCTGGAAGCAGAACGACTTTGTGTGCACGGTTTACTCTCCGACCCTGAAGATGGAGACAGTATGTCCGTCTGAAACGTCTGTAAACTTTCACCAGACAACCCAGAAGACAATACTCTTGTCAGTACCACAACGACCCAATTTCTCGCACACTGTTTATGTAATTAATATATGGGCTTACGTAAGTCGTGAAGTGTAATTCTTGTAACAGGATAGTCAAGTCTTGATTTCTGTGTTTGCAGGACGAGAGGGGAAGACTCATGCGCAGGAATATCGTCCGCTATGCTATGTTGTCTTACGTCATAACCTTGCAGAAAGTCAGTTTCCGTGTGAAGAAGCGCTTCCCCGCATGGCAACACATGGTGGACGCGGGTGAGTACTGCCAAGTCATGTCACTCAGCACTACATCCATTTCACTGTGTTTGACTTAACTTGAGCATTAAGTAGGTTACATAATACAAATAATAGGAGAAGATATTTTTTCTCTTCTGCACAGCGTCTGGGGCCCACTCAGCCTTGTATCCAATGGGTTACCTTGGGGCTTTTTCCCTTGCGGTAAAGCGGCTGGGGCGTGAGGCTGACTATTCGTCTCCATCTAGTGCCGAAGTCAGGAATGGTGGGGGTATAACTCAACTCCTCCGTATGTCATCATAGCATAGTGCTTAATGAATTAAGCGCAGGGACTTAACATTTTTATATTTTGTTAGGCGAAGGACCTTATTAACAGCTGAGTAGGCGATTGTCTGTTGGATGTCTTTAACATAAAATTCCTCCTTATCCGAATTCCCTTTTCATCATATCTGCCCGGTAATTATTAGGACGCCACATAAGATACAATGCATAAAACGATCTATGCTCCCGCTGTTTCACAGCGAGACAACCAATCTTCGTGGTGAGGCCGGTCTCTGTGCTCTTCTTGAGAAGCTGCCAATTGTGCAGCTACTCAAGAACTTCCTAACATTTTATGGAACCCGAAGGTTCATTACCGTGCTCACAAGAGCTCTCCACTGGTCCATGTCCTGAGCCAGACCAATCCAATCTATATCATCCCGATCCATTTTAATATTGAACACCCACCTACGCCTTGGTCTTCCTAGTGGTCTCTTTCCTTCTGGCTTTCCCACCAATATCCTATATGCATTCCCCTTCTCCCACATTGGTCTCTATGGGATTTACAAGACATATCACCATTCAACGCAACGGAGATAAACAATACAAGAAGTTGTTTTTGAGAATCTCACAGCGGTGGTTATGAAGAGCTCTGTCTGCTGGGATGCATCCTCATGTAGTAACACGGCGATATATTCCAGAAGTCAGAACTCTTCAGTAAGAAAGATGCTTGATAGCATATCCTTTTGCTTTAAACCCTGAATTTATTGATAATGAAGCATCTGTCTAGCAGTTCACTCACTCTCATAGAACTACTAAGGACTGGTATGCTATATCTTGTTTTTGTTTATGAGAATTCATGTTGAAGAGTAATCACATGGTTACCAATATTCAGTTCAGTTTTCACTGATTTTATTTGTCTTTGTTTGCTTGGCTGCCCATTCACCCTATATAGCTGGCATGTCCAACGCGTCGATCTCGGGACGATTTTTGGTCCATCTCATAGGCCTATAAGGAAATTATACGTGAAAAGTATGTAAATTCACTTGTAATATAATATGATTATATTCAGATTTTGAAGGGAAAATACGTGTTAAAGTAGTCTGTACTTCCAATGTATGTTGCTTTTACAACAAACATCATGTGTCGTGTTATTTTTACCAATATTTTTTCTTAAAGCGAGGTACGATGATAGGAGGGGGTGGTAGAACGCAGGCAGTTTTGACACTAAAAAGTCGATCACAACCTGTTTGAAGTTGGACATCGCTGCTATATAGTGTTGAAAGATACATCGATTAAGAATAATAAATTGAAAATAATGTGAAAGGAAGGGCTCATGGCCTAATGTGAGTTACTTCTACGGTATTTGCCTGGAGGAACTGATGAAAATCACCAAAAAACAAAGCCATGGTAGCTGCTCTCCTCGCCCGGATAATGTGAGTTACTTCTACGGTATTTGCCTGGAGGAACTGATGAAAATCACCAAAAAACAAAGCCATGGTAGCTGCTCTCCTCGCCCGGATAATGTGAGTTACTTCTACGGTATTTGCCTGGAGGAACTGATGAAAATCACCAAAAAAACAAAGCCAGGATACCTGCTCTCCGCGCCCGGATTTTAGCCCGGGATTTCCTTGTTACGAAGTAGATGTGCTACCCATTCAAACTCAAGAGTTCGCTATGGGGGGAGGGTGGAGTCCAGTTGGGTCCACTCACCACGGCAGCGACTGATTGGCCTATTGTAGCCTGCCCCGACTGATTATGATGATGGAGAATTTGGTGGAATGAAGATTGGCAGGGGAAACCGAAGTACTCTGAGAAAATCAGCCCCAGCGCCACTTTGTCCACCACAAATCCCATTTGACCAGACCCAGGATCGAACCCGGGCCGCCGCGGTGGGAAGCCAGCGACTAACCGCTTGAGCTATGGCGCGGCCTAAGAAACTCAGATTTACTCGTATGTGGGTTTATTGAAGTGATAAGTCGTAGTAGCAGGCGTGACCAGAGTGGTTTGAACGGCTGCTGTACTGCGATGTGGAAAGCAAATGGAAAAACTACCACATTATCACTTTTCCTGGATAGTCTCTTTCCAAAAACAGAGATACCATATATGCGAGATGTTTCCTCTGGAGGCAAAACAATCCGGAGGTAAACTACTCCCCCAATCGGATCTCCGGGGGGGAGTGTTTCTAGAGGAAATGTCATGCAGGCGTTACAACAAGAAAAAGTGCGAAGATCAGAAGAAACAGCATGGATACAAGATTGGAACATGGAATGTCAGGACCTTGAATCAAGCAGGAAAATTGGAGAATTTGAAAACGGAAATGCAGAAGAATGAAGTGTCTGTGCTAGGTGTCAGCGAAGTGCGGTGGAAAGGACAAGGTGAAATAAGAAGCGGTGATTATACAGTGTATTATTCCGGAGGTGAACGGGCTGAAAGAGGTGTGGCAATAGTGGTGCATAAAAGTGTAGTGAGGAGTGTTGTTAAGAAGATTGCTTGTAATGACAGAATTATTGCTCTGAAGTTAAAGGCAGAACCGGTAGATATACTGATTATACAAGTGTACATGCCAACATCAGAGTATGAAGACGATGAAGTGGAAAAAGTGTATGACACAATTGAAGAAATTCTTCAGGAAGATGGAAGAGGAGACACAAACAGCATCATATTGGGAGACTGGAACAGCATTGTTGGAGATGAACCATATCAGAATATTGTTGGATCACATGGACTAGGAAGACGGAATCACAGAGGTCAAATGCTTATTGACTTTTGTGAACGAAATGGATTGATTGTTACCAACACTTGGTTCAAGAAGCCAAAGAGAAGAATTTACACATGGAAGGCACCTGGGGATTGGAAGAGGCATCAGCTGGACTACATCCTTGTGAAACATCGATTCAGAAACAGTGTGAAGGATGTGAAGACGCTTCCTGGGGCAGACATTGACTCTGACCACAACTTGCTGGTTGCCAAGTTCCGAACCAGGTTGAAGAAAATTATAGGATTTCGAAAGCGCAGACCCAGATGGGATTTGGAGAAGTTATATGCTCAAAGACAAAGCGTGCAAGAGACTCTAGAAGAGAAACTCGGTGCAATTGAAGGTGAAAGCGGAAATGCTGAAGCGCAGTGGAACGATATAAAAGAATGCATGTTAGATACTATCAGTGATTTGGTAGGTAAAGTTGAGAAGATAGCAAGAAAACCATGGGTTACACAGGAGATGATGAGTAAAATGGAGGAGCGAAGGAAATGGAAGAATGTCAACAATGAAGAAGGCAGGAGGAAATACAGGAGACTGAGGAATGAATTGAAAAGAGCCACGGACAGGGCCAAAAAGGAATATCTTGAGAAGATATGTAATGAGATTATGGAATTTCAAAGAACAGGCCGTTATGATTTGATGTACATGAAGACAAAAGAACTAGGATGGAAAGAGAATCATGGGATTCAAAATGTTGGCATCGAAGACTCCCAGGGGAATAGAATAGTAGATCAGAGGCAAGTGCTGAAAATTTGGGAAAATTATATTTCAGAACTATATGATCGACCTAATCGGCCAGAAACCTTAGAAGTTGAACCGGAAGAAGAAGTAGATACAGACGAGAAAGGACCATATATTTTACAAAGTGAGGTGGAAAAAGCTATCAAGGAAATGAGGAAGGGAAAGGCTACAGGAGATGATGATGTACCTGGAGATGTGCTCAAGTTACTGGGAGAAGGTGGTTTGAAAACACTGACAAAACTAATGAACACCATATATGAAAGTGGAGAGTGGCCCAAGGACTTTACAGAAGTTACAATGATTGCCTTAAAGAAAAAGACAAAAGCTACAAAATGCAGCGACCATCGCACAATAAGTCTTATTGCACATACAGCAAAGATAATAGCAAAGATACTTAAAAGAAGAATTGAAAGGAAAATAGAGGATGTACTTGGAGAAGATCAGTTTGGATTTAGAAGAGGAAAAGGAACCAGGGATGCAATTGGGATGATGAGAATTATAGCGGAACGAACTTTGGAGATAGATGAAGAACTGTGTGTTTGCTTCATAGACTGGCAGAAGGCATTTGACCGGGTAAACTGGACCAAATTAATGCAGATCCTGAAAGAAACAGGTATCGATTGGCATGAAAGAAGATTGATTAGCAAATTGTACATGGATCAGAAAGTTAGAGTACGACTGGACAGGGGGGAGACAGGAAGTGTGCAGATTGGAAGAGGAGTTCGACAAGGATGCTGTTTATCACCAATTCTGTTCAACTTGTACAGCGAATGCCTTACCAAGGAAGCTCTGGATGGGCTCGGTGACTTCAAAGTAGGAGGGCAAATTATTCAAACTGTGAAATATGCAGATGACCTTGTGTTAATGGCTAAGGAAGAAACTGTGCTACAGGGCATGATTGATAGACTAATTGAAATTGGAAGGTGCTATGGCATGGAAATGAATGTGGAGAAAACAAAAGTAATGAAAATTTCGAGACAACCAACCCCAGTCACAATAAAGATAGACCAAAAACAAGTGGAGAATGTGAAATGTTTTAAATATTTGGGTAGCTTGTTAACAGATGATGGAAGGTGTACTTGTGAAATTAAATCCAGGATTGCCATGGCAAAAGCTGCATTTAGCAAGAAGAAGAATCTTTTTACCAGCAAATTGGACTTAAATTTGAGGAAGAAACTAGTGAAATGCTACATTTGGAGCATAGCTCTGTATGGGGCTGAAACATGGACACTTAGGGCAGTAGATCAGAAACATCTGGAAA